CCCCCCAAAGTGTGGAGCTCGCATCGTCTCCACCCCCATTCCTTCTCCCCCGCAAGGTCGGCAGTGAGGCCCCAACAGGCACATACACCCAAGGCCCTTGAGCCCCCATTCTCCCGGGTCTGGTCCCCTTTCCCAAAGCTCCCCCCTCACTGACTCCGGATTGAGGCCCAATCAACCCTGAGCCCCGGCCCCGGCTCCATCTTCCCCGCTCTGGACAGGACATATGCCGTGCATATACGGCGGCCTCGGTCCAGGAAACACAAAGAACTCCAAATCCATTGGAGTTATGTTTCCCCTGACCGACTTGGTACATCATGGCCTCAGGGACACCTTGTGAGCTTAGTGCTACTGGGCCCACGCAGATCCCCAGAGTCAAAGGCAAGGGAGGGGTGGCCAGCCCTGTGGCTCTGGATCAGGAGAAAGTGAAACCACAGGCCCCCGAATTGCCAGCCACCTCACCCCTCCCGGCCCCTTCCCAGGCACCAGGCATGTTTGACCCCAGTGAGGGCCTGGAGGGGCAGCCAGGCCTGAGGGGAGCAGGTGCCCCTTGGGCACCCGCAATTCCACGAGGGCCGAGGTGGGCAGCGACCCGAGCCTAAGCCCACACCCCCAGTCCGCTGTGCCCGCACTGTACCCCACGCCACACCGTGGGAGCAGCGGCTCAGCACAGACAGTGCCCGTGGCCAAAGGCCCTTTGTGTCGTCTAGGAGGGCTGACGGGTTATGTTGGATAGAGCTCAGGCCGTGGCCCAGGTGCAGGGCAGGCACTCTCCAGGCGGTTCTGGGACTCAGCTACCCTGCTCGCCCGGGTACCTCACTACATAACGTGAACCTCATTACAGCTCTGCATTTAACAGAAGCGGAAAACGACGAAGCGCGCCCTCCGGGGGGCACCGCTCCGAGGGGGGGTCCCAGTCAGGCTGCAGGCCAGTGCAGACCGCGGGCTTGGTGTGTGCGCCGTGGGTTCCGGCCCCGGGCTGCCCTGTGCACCCTCTCCGCGTCGTGCCCACATTTTACGGGCGATCGCGTGGGGCGCTGGGACCCCCAACCCGGCATCAGCGGCCGCCCCGTAGGACCGATTCGGGCACAGGGTATCGTCTCACGAGCGGGGCTACGTCTCCCCGGCCCGGCATCGTTTCTGGGAGCCGGGCTTCGTCTCGGGGCGGAGCCTCACGAGGCCCCGCCCCTCCGCGCGGCTCCCTGATTGGTCGGCGGCCGGGGCGGGCCCCGCGGGGCATTGTGGGCCGCCGCGCTCCCGCCGCCGCCAGCGCCTCCGCCTCGCCATGTCGGGTTCTCCGGTAAAGCGGCAGAGGATGGAGAGCGTGCTGGACCAGCTCAAGCAGTTCACCACCGTGGTGGCCGACACGGGCGACTTCCACGGTGAGGCCGCGCGGGGGGCCCCGAGTTCGGACACCGGCCGGGCGGCCGTGGCCGGGGCGGGGGTTCGTGGGCACAGAAAGCCGGCCCGCCCCGGCTTCCCCGCTGCAGGCGCCGCTCCCGACCCAGCTCCCGGGGTGGGGGGACACGGGCGAGCCCGGGGCCCGGGGGGACCGGGAAGGAGCGACCCCGGAGCGGGGGGGCGGGGCCTCCGGGAGCCGGGCGCCCAGTCCGAGTCCCGCCCCCGAGCCGAGGGCTTCCGCGGAGCCCCGTGGTGAGCGGTCAGTGAGTCGGTGGGTTAGGGTTCAAAGGCTTTGGTTCGGGGGGATGGGGGTCTGAGGTCTGAGGTCCGAGGAGCAGATTCCGCAGACCCGTGAGCTTGCCGGAGGCGGCTGCGTTCAGCGACTGTTGACTGCTAAGCCGGAAGACCAGAAGTGCGGACGCCACCGCCGGCTTTTGAAACCTCCTGTTGCACAGTCTTTCCGCCCCTGCCCAGGGGACAGCCGGCCTGTGGCAAGGTGCCGGCCACTTGGGGCGGCGGAACTGGGTGGATAAAACCCCGATGCGCTGAGGAAAGCAAAGGGTCGTCCTGTTACAATTTAGACTTTCCAGGGTTTTACTGGTGTCCATTGGCGAGAACTGGGAAGTACAGAGAAGCATAAAGGCTTATGCTGTCACTCCTCAGATCTGCAAATGCACAGCCCAGAGGGACCTCCATGCAGTTCTGCTGGGAACAAATAAGATTTTCAGGGAAACCTTGCAGTGCCCCGCGGACGCGCGTGCTGGGTGCACACAATAAGGAGTGCCTGCCTCCCTTTTCTGCTTTCTCATGGTGACTTGAGAAACAGGCTGTCACTCCTCTGTGATAACAATGAATAAGAGGATTGTTTACCTAGCAGGATTTAGGGAGTGAGTAAGCATTTTTGGCTGCTTCAGTAAAAAGGACGGGCTCTGATCAGTTTGGGGCCAACCTGTGGGCTTGGCTAGCAGAGCAGTATGTCGCCCTGTCTGACTAGCTGGGAGCTTTGGGAGGCTGCGGTCCCCTTTTCATCCTGCCCTGCACCCTCAGACCTCTGGGCAGTGACATTAGCAGGACAGATCCTGGGAAAATGGTTGCATGTTTTCCTGCGTCTGTTTTTTCCCTTCTTAGCACTTAGAATAATTTTCGGTCTTGGCTTAATTGACAGAGCCCTGGTCCGCACATTTCCTGCTGGTTCTCATCTGCCAGTAGCAGCAGGACAGCTGTCAGTCACCTTCTGGCAACATGGCCAGTAAGGTGGTAGAGGACCAAGGGGGTGCTCGCTGTTTTTTTTCCTTTTAGAAATATCTAAACCCAAGCACTGACATTTTTTATTTTTTAATGACTATGAACACATTTATGAAAATTCATTAGTTGATAATATATAGCCATAAATGTTACACACATAGTTTTAAACGGGGCATGTGGTTTTGTGATCATTTTATGAAGTGAAGTTTCTACCATAGGCAGGGGGTTCATAGGCCTCTTTGAAAGTGTAATCAAAGCTGTGACTTCTCTTCCCAGGACAGTGGCTCCCTCCCCTTTCCCAAGTTTTGCATTATCTAAGGGTCCCTGGGCCCTGAAGCCCATCTGAGGACCCCAGATGGGTCTTGGTTTTGGTTTTAGTTTTGTTAAAAGTCAGCTTTATCAAGGCATAATTTTGTACAAGGAAAGGCACTGTTTTTTGTCCACCATTCGCTGGGTTTGTACACGCCGCTGAAAACACCACTCCAGAGCACTTTTTCTTTTTTTTTTT